TGTTGTAAAAATAGCAGAAGCCTGCTGCATGTCAAGTTACCAGACTTTCATCAAATTACCTGCACTTAAAAAAGTCTTTAAATTCAATGGGTTGTTTAGTTTTAATTATTAAACTCCTCAATATAAGCCATGAGTTATAATTAACCACCTCCAAAGAAAAAGTGAAATAGTGGGAAATGCCTTTTAAATGTGCAGCACAGAGCCCATTCTGTTTTCATTAATTGTCTTGTATCTTGCCATGTCCTTTATCTGCTTGTGAATTTACAAGGAACATAGCAGGTTGTGAATTTTTAATAGGTTTTCCTCAAGGAAAGAAAAGGTCAGTATTAACATAAAATTCTTCTTAAAGATTTGTGACACAAATGTTTCACACCAAAGAACAGGTGTTACTGAGGAACTAAAGCCTCAATAATCTGACATTTTTCTCCATTTAAAGAAAATGCAATGCCTCACATAATAAAATAGCACAAGGTCAAATCAATATAAAAGTTATTTCAAAGTAGATGCTGCAAGTTATTTGACACATAATCCATAACCCCACTTCTCAGCAACAGATACCACTGATTTTATTCAATTAAATGTTTAATAGATCCACATATTGATAAGTAACATCCAAATATAAAAGTGAAGATTAGCAAGTAAGAGACAATTGTTAGTGCTAACACTTATGTGATAATTACTTAGTATATGAGTTAAAATAAGAAATAAAATTTTATTAACACACAAGAAAAGGAGAGAAAAAAATACCAGGCTAAGGGTGAAAAAAAAGTATACAAAGGACCTTTGTATTCAAAGGACCTTTGAAGTAACTAAAGTAATAAGAAGAAACTTAAAAAAGAAGGGGGGGAGCTTAGGTAAGAGACTTTAACTAACGGACTCTGTCCGTTGCTCTTTTTCTTTAGCTGTTTCTTTAATTGAGGAAATCATCGGTATCAATGTAGGTTGCCTATTATTAGTTCTTGTTTCCCAGCTGTTTCCCTCAGAGGAAGGAGTAACTCCCCGATCTCATGAGGTCTGGAAATGCATCTTCCTGTCTTGTAGTTGCTGTTTCTTTTACTTGTGCATTTCTCAAATATGTATATTGAAATAAGATTTTGGGTAAACATAAGCCAATGGCAAAGTGCCCAAACATGGTTTTTGGCCTTTCATTCTAGAGTTTGTGGTCTTGTTTCCCTCTGTAAAAAAAAAAAGAAGAAGAAGAAGAAGGCACTTCTCTGGTGGTTCAAGAAAATGTTATTGTAAGTCTGGTTTTTTGGACCCAAACTTACAAATTCATAGGTCTAATTATTGTTCTTAGTTATGAGAAGGTAGAAACCTTTTTATTTCAGATTTTCAAAACTACGGTTGAACTTATCTTTGAAAATCTGTTCAAGGATCTTCAATCCTTATCTTTTTGTTTTTCTAATACCATGTTCAATTTTCTAATCCAACAGAAACTCCCAAGATGTGAGATTTGATTTTTACACTCTAGTATAAGTGAAGATAAAAATCCTGCTGTGATTCATATTCCAAAAGTGAACATTATTAAAATTAAAACCTCAACCATACTGGCAACATTCTTTTGTGTGATTAACTGATTAAAGTAACAGAGGTGATGTTGGTTCCCAACTTGCCTTACATTCTCTCTACTTTGAATCTGTGTTCTATATTAATCTAGTATTTCCTGTAAGATGTACAATTTGGAAAGTGCAAGAAAGTACCTAAGTTTAAACTTCTTATTCTTTATCAGGAAATTTGGGTGTTATATACTTAAGAAACCCTTACTAGTTTCTGTGGGCTAGTTTACGGGTTGTCTTACAAATTGCCATTATATAGTGTTCCAATCTTTCATAGCACTAGAATGGAATCGTCGATTTTCTTTAGACATACCTGATACTTATAAAAGTAAGCAAACATTTCTCAATTAAAGTTGTTGAAAGAATAGACATTAAATATCAGAACTGTGTACTATAAACCACAAATTTATATGATCAAATGATTACAATTGGGTTGGCCAAAAAGCTTGTGTGGTTTTATTTCCACAAAATAAAAAAACATATCTTTCATTTTCAACAATAACTGTACTGATTTGGAAATTTTGAGTATTTCAGCTGTCTTCAATGTGTTATAATGTTGGTTGTTCTCAATTAATGTCTCAATGTCATAGCTATCAACTTCACCTGGTCTACTGATGGTGGAGCATAGTACAGCGAGAAATCTCCAGCACAAAACTTCATAACACACCTGCACAAACTATCTTTGCCAACCACTTTTGACTTATTCAATCAGTCACAGCACCTTTTCCTACACTGCACCAATCTTTTTTTGTTTTTGTGTTTCAGTTGTATATTTACTTTTTAAATTTATTTATTTATTATTTTAAAGGTTTAAGTTATTTATTTGTTAAAAAGAGGGGAAGGGAGAGAGAAGAGGGAAACATCAGTGTGGTTGCCTATTGTGGGCCCCCTACTGAGGACCTGGCCTGCAACCCAGGCATGTGCCCTGACAGAACCAAACCAGTAACCCTTTGGTGCACAGGCTGGCACTCAATCCACTGAGCCACACCAGAAAGGGCTCATTCTTACTTTTCTTGAAATAATAAAGCATGATATGCCCAAAATGTTGCTTATTTTCTTTCATTTCCAACATTAAAATGATTACACAAAAAATCACCAATTTTGATTTTTTTTTGGGGGGGGGCGATCCATGTTGAGAGCTAAAGACAACTTGGTGCTCTCAGAGCCATCTCAGGAAAAAAAAAAAACTTTGGGGCCAACCCAATAATATCAATAATTATTCTTGAACTATTTTGATTCCCACACAGAGTAAGAAATACGCAACACTTATGCCTGCCTTTTGGAAAATTGCCACTATGTTCCATATTCATGTAATTGGAAAGTTTCCTGGCAACTACCTGCAATTTCAGTTACTAAAAAGCATCAGTCTTTTGACTTTTGAGAACCTTTCCTTGTACAACACAGTTACAGGTCATTTCTGAGAGGTTTTTAGTTAAAAGTAGCTGTTTCTGGAATTTCTCCACCTTGCTTTGTTGTTTATGAATGGCAAAAAAAAATGCTCAAAATTTTCACCTGACTTCTTTTCCTTCGGAGTATGAATCCATTTGGGGTTTTCTTTATCCATGATGTCTGTAATAAAGGGCTATTTGTCCATAAATCATAAAAATGGAGTCTTATTCAACTTTGATGGCTAAATGCTAATTACTACAAACCATTAACAAAAAAGTAGATGACTTTTGAAGAACCAACACTACCAGTAATATAATATATTAGTCATATATATGTTTTAAAGTATATATTCAATTTTCAAAAATTTTTAGTTTTGTATAAAAATATTTTCATAGTTACATTCAATGACATAAACTCCCACAAAGGAATCTTTCAAATAAAGAAACAAAATTCTGTTTAAATTGAAAAAAATCAATGTAATATTTTACATGTAATTAGATGAAAATGTTTGCTGTTGTAAGTCATCTAAAGAGCAAAAATCAAACTTATTTAGATAATATGTCTCTACAACCTCTATAATTTTTGCACAATTGAAAAATACATTCTTCAATGTTTAATTTTCTAAGCTACAGATTAGTGTGCCTATTCTGATTTATTACTACATTTTATATGAATATCAACAAAACCTATTCATGATTATGTCTAAGTTATTAAAATGCTGTAAAAAATTTAGAAAATTTATGCATTGTTTTTATATTTCTTATCTGAATAAAAAACAAAATTAAAAAACTTTTAATGTATAATTACTGCAAATAATCAAACTATGATCCTAGCATAGAAAATATTTGTGGTTGGATGGTGCAATTAAACAGAAAGTTATAGTTACTGTATTTCACAAAGCCGTGCTGTGTTCCTCCTGTGACTGAGCCCGTCCCTTCAGGGTAAGACTTCTGTGGTAGGCAATGGAAGGGCTACACTTGAGATTCTTGGAACCCATTATCCCCTATCAAAAAACACCCCAGAGTTTGCTTCTGCATCCAGAGAGAGTCTCTTTTCCAGGTCTGGCACCTGAAAGCCTGACTAGCCAACTGTTATATGCATCCCTAATCCTGAGGGTTGGCCTAATGGGCATCTGTTTAAAGAACAGCATAGAGGGGATTTGCCCACGACGCATGGGCTCTTGGGCTAGCAGTGGCATTAAAATAGGGTGTGCACTGAGTTGAGATGTTTACATGGATGTGAGCAAAGCTCTCTGACATGATGACTGGATTCTGGAAGGTGGGTGTTGTGAGCATGAGCCAGGGGCTAGGAAAGACTTGTTCTGCATTGCCTTAGTCTAGCACAGAATTCTGGTTTGAGGTTGTTAAGAACATAGATTTGACAGGGTCTGAGGCTAGATACTACATATTTTATTTTATAGTTTATTAACTCAATTTATAATTTTAAAATATATAGAAAATTGTTATGTGGACATCTTCTTGTATTTTCTCTGAGCTTCACAAGTAGATGTTGGATAGTCACTTTTATATGAATCCCAAATGATGCCTGCTGTCTCTAACATACAAACTATGTCCCATACAACTTTGCCTCTCACTCTTTTTACATTATCACTACTACTCCTAATGGAAATACAGTAACTAATATGTTTTTAGGAGATGAATTTCCCATATAATATGAGAACAAAATGATTTTCTACTCAGAAAGAAATGAGAGAAGCAATATTTAAACTGGCACATTAAGACTGATGACTTATGTCTTTGAAAGGACCTTTTTTTTGCTTACAAAAAGTTATTTACTAAGCAAAACAAAGGGGGGGACAGTGTTTAGTTTATCTTTATTACCATTTAGAATAAAAATTACCCTAATATGTGAAAGACTAGACCTATTGTTTATAGTATATGAATGAGTGTGATTATACTTATTCAGCTCTCATTTCAAAAACTAAGATAACTGACCCCATTATTCAGTGATGGAACATGAGAGGCCTTTGTGAATTCTTTCAGCGTTATGTACCTTTAGACATTATCATGGATAGACTCTTTTTTATTCCCTCAGCTTCATTCAGACCAAGATAAAGGAGATGGATCACTCAAGTATATTTTATCTGGAGATGGAGCTGGTACTCTTTTTATTATTGATGAAAAAACAGGTGACATTCATGCCACACGAAGAATTGATAGGGAAGAAAAGGCCTTTTATACTCTACGTGCACAAGCTATTAACAGAAGAACTTTGAGGCCAGTGGAACCAGAGTCTGAGTTTGTGATAAAAATCCATGATATCAATGACAATGAGCCAACATTCCCGGAGGAAATTTATACAGCTAGTGTTCCTGAAATGTCTGTTGTAGGTAAGTTTATTACAACAGTTATCATGGAATTCAAAAAGTATTAAAACATCAAAAATTGTTTAAATATTATGATCAAAATATTGAAATCACCTCTGATTCCCTACTAAGAATATATACACAATTTTCTCATTTAGGATGTAAAAAAATGAGTGCATTTTCCAGTTCTTATGTATTTGTAAATCTTACAATACAAATGAGGTAGACACTTTCCTCAAATATCCAAGAAAAATACCGTTTAGCTCAATAGAAAACTATAAAAATATATTTTTGAAACATGGATTTGGATAATAGCTATGTAATATTCTGATACAGAATGTATTGTAAGTACATTTAGAACACAGATACAACATAGAGTATTTGCATATATACTTTAGTCCTTTGCCTAGAGTTTTTCCGTATTATCTTGACAAAATGAATGATGGAATTGATGAGATTATCCAATTATTTTTACTTTAGGCTGCATTATTTTTTATGAAATAGAGGACTATAAAAACATCAGAAAATAATAACAGTTATATACATATATTTAGACATATATTTAGACATGTTTAGATATGTCTAAATATATCTAAGACATATATTTAGATTTAGACATATATTTAGATTTAGTAAAGTAGATTCATTTCTCAAATTTGGGAGAAATTGTATTAACCAGGAAAACAACTGCAATTTTTTTTCTTGTAACAGTTGTGATAGCAGATTTTCATCTCTGCATTTCTCAAAAGCATTGTTCTGAGATTATTATTTAATATTTACTTCATTAAATCCCAAGGACTTTTGCCAGTTGCCTTATTATAAAGCCCTTTTAAATATCTTGAACTTTATTAAATAGCTTTTAATAGTTTATGGAACATGGGATCTTCTTGGATTGTTTCTAAATTTAAACTTTAATCTATTCATAAAATCGTATTCTGGAGCAGATGTTAATTATTTGTATAGTTAATTAGTGAAGAGAGGGAAAGAGGAGCATACTTACTCCTTTGTGATTAGGTAGATATGCCCTTTAATGTGAAACAAATCTATTATATGAAAATGAATTTAAGTATCAAATCTGAACATTTGTAAAGTGACTGCATTTTTTACAATTTAGTAATTCAAATGTTATCTATCGCATGCATAAATATACACTAGCTGGCTAAGTAAATATGTATTTGAATTCAGAGTTTACCTATAATAATTTTGCATACGATTTTCATCTACATTATCAATAAATGTTTCTTTAAGAGGTCATTATTAACACCAAAAACCATTCAAGTCTTCCATGAAAACCAGTGCTTTTGCTCCTCCTTCTGGTACTGTGCAGAACTAAGCTGAATTTGGATACTTCAGGTACTTCTGTGGTGCAAGTCACAGCCACCGATGCCGATGACCCTTCCTACGGGAACAGTGCCAGAGTCATTTACAGCATTCTCCAGGGGCAGCCATATTTCTCTGTGGAGCCTGAAACAGGTCAGGAGTCACGAACTGGTTTGTTAATTCCACAGTCTTTATGATCCTTATGAGTAGAAAAAACAGTGGGAAAATAAGCACAAAACATTAACATTAATAGCCCCAGCAGAATGATGATGCCGCGCTTAAGAGATTTACAAACTCAATGCTGAATGATTGAGTGAGTTAGTGAAAATATAGCTGTTGTTATGTTTTCACATATGGCTTTAGGTCACTATGTAGCACATACAGTATTTTTAGGGAATAGAAAAACAACACAAATTGTAAAACGTGCATTGAATCACTTTTATAATTTCTAGGCAATAAAAATATATATTTTTTCAAAACTCACTAGTTTAGACATACAATTTGTGAGCTTAATCAATAAATAATTGATATTTTAATGATGGTAACAGATGTTTTTATATTTTCTTCAAGGCATCATCCGGACTGCTTTACCGAACATGAACAGAGAAAACAGGGAGCAGTACCAAGTGGTGATCCAGGCCAAGGACATGGGCGGCCAGATGGGAGGGCTGTCGGGGACCACCACCGTGAACATCACGCTCACTGACGTCAATGACAACCCGCCGCGCTTCCCCCAGAGTAAGCTGCCTTTCAAGGTTTTTCTGCAGGGCAAGACTTTTAGAGTAAAAAAAAAAAAAAAAAAAAAAACCAGAAAAAAAAATAGCCATCGATTATTTAATTGAAAACACATTGGAAGTGCGCTACAAAAATGAAAAAAAGAAAAAGATAGGTGTTTATGCTGATGAATTCATTATTATTTAAAGATTAAAAACTAAATATTTCAGAAATTTTGTTCAGAGACAGGGAGATTACAAAACCTCTTCATATTTATATTTTTCATCTATAGTTGTAATCTAAGACTATTTATTTTAGTTAGCAAAAGAAAATAGTTTTATTGGAAAATTAGTAAATCATAATTTGACAACAAATGTGTTTATTTGCACTTACAATTTAATAATGAGGATTCTAACTTGAGGCTAATTTTTTTCAATAAAATATAATTTGACATATTAGAAAGGGCTACATAGAACTTTACAAACGAATCATATTTGCATTTAATATGTCTGTTAGGAGTATCATAAGTAAAATATTTCATGTACTTATCTATTTGTAGATATATTTTGTGTTGTAGAATTAACCTTCAAATTCTCAAAATAGATCATAAATAGGTTAAAAACCATTAACTCTGACCTCATAACACATGTCCTTATTTTCTTTCCTCACAATTTTGGTAGATGTGCAACTAGAGAGGATTCTATTAGGTCTCAGTGGACACTCCCAAGACTTAGCCAATTTCCTGGTATTCTGAAAGATTCTATGCTCAGGTCAAAATTTCACATTGTTAGGAATGTGGTATAAAAATGTAGGCTCTAGTGTAATCTATGTACTTAATTTTTAGCATTTCCTGTGCATTGGCTTCTGAATCAATTCTCTAATTTTAAGTAGACCTTTGTGACACAGTATTAAATTGCACTTATTGTCATATTTACATTTTTACACAAAAGATCATTGCAGAGAAAATTATGGTCTAAGAATTCATTGTATTATCTTTATAAAGCATTTTACCTCTTTTTGTGCTATTGTTTTTCTAACTGCAAAGTTATTATTCCTAGTGTATTATTTGAACTGAATTGTTTATAGTTATGTGTGTGGAAATATTGCAAATCCAAGTAGAATTTTGTTGAGCAGACTAATTCTATGCTTATGCATTGTGATGATTATTTGGATAATTGAGGTTCATGACTGTCAGGTCTACCAGTGTGGTGCCTGGCCCAGAATATAGGGAGAAAGGTGTTTGTTCATGCTCCTTTCAAAGAACAAGGTTTTGGCTTCGGGTTACATTTACTACTGGCAGGGAAAAGGAAACCAACTATTATCCTTTATAGTTGTTTCAGAACAGTTCTAAAGATGTGTCCAGTTACATTGAACTTAAGTTTCTCATTTTATATATCATATATTTTATGATATATTTGAAATGTATATTTTGTTATTTTATCTGTTATAATACCTCTAATAATTCATTTGATAATTATTCTTTTTTCACTTGGTATCTGGTAGGAACATTATTCAAGACCTGAAATAGGAATAATAGTGACAATGATAATAATAAAGCATAATTTATATTTTCTTTTTAAAAATATATTTTATTGATTATGCTATTATATTTGTCCCCATTTTCCCCCTTTTCCTCCTCTACTCAGGACCCCCATTACCTCCAGCTGTTGCCCCCTTAATTCATGTTCAAGAGTCATGCATATTAGTTCTTTGGCTATTCCATTACTTATGCTGTTCTATTTTGTACCTACAATTTGTGCTTCTTAGTCATTGCAACATTCTTCCAATTTTCCCCCTTCCCATTCCCAAGTGATAAACCTCCAAATGATCTTCATATCTATAATTCTGTTACTGTTCTGCTTGTTTTCTTAGTTTGTTACTTGGATTCAATTATTGATAGGTGTGACTTTATTGCCATTTTAATATTCATCATTTTGATCTTTTTTTCTTATATAATTTCCTTTAGCATTTCATATAATAATGGCTTGGTGATGATGAGCTCCTAGGTTTTACCTTGTCTGGGAAATTTATATTTTCTACATAGCATTTTTATTGAGTCCTGTACCAACTTATTTAATGACCTGCTTACTGCAGTTAGACCAGGTGATTCAGGTGAGTTTTGTGGCCTCCGGTCTACAGATGAATGAAGAAGGGCCACATTGCAAATGATGACACATGTGGGTTGTTGTCAGTCCCTCTAGTTGTACAAACACATTTACAGAAATTTCAGAGCATACTATATCTTGTCTCATTATTTTTTAATTGTAGATGAAAACTAATTTATACATTTTTATTTCCTCAGTTGCCTTTTATTCTATGATATTTGCAACCATATCTTACTCTTGGGAACACCCAAACACAGCAATTAGATTGTTACCTGATGATTTGTCATCTAACATCTGGAACACTAGTTTTTAACTTTTAACATCATTGCATTAACTAGCCAACTTTTGGAGAGGGTCCTACAGTTTATGAAGCCTTTCACATGGAACATTGTTGAAATCTCACATTGTTATTTTTATTATACCCAATAATATGGAAGAGATAAAGGAGGTTCAGAGAGGAAATGATAGCAAAAACAAATCAGTGCTGCTTCACCGAAATATGCTACAAACCAAAAGCATGTGCCACATAGGTCATTTTAATATTTCCATCAGCCATGCATTAAAAAATTAAAGAAGAGACATTTATTTAATTATTGTATTTTATTAGCCCAATGTTACCCTTTAAATGCATCATCAGTGTAAAACTTACTCAGGTATTTTACATTCTTTTCTCCCATTACTCTTTGAAATGCCCACTTACATCAAGTATTTCCTAGTTATGTCAAGTCACAATTCAGACTTACCATGTTTCCAGTCAATAGGTCTGTGAGAGCTGGGGGCCCGAATAGAAGCTGTCACATCAGACAGCTTTGGAGCAGACTGTGGAGTTACCCTGCTGAGTCCCACTGCTGCTAACTTGTTCACTGACTTGCCACCTTGGTTAATTAAGTAAAATCGAATAACAATGTGTATTCTATGGAGTGATAAAGCTAAATAATTTAATACCTGTGAAACACTTAGTGATTTCCCCTAGTGTATTATTGACGTGCTCAGTGATGGTGATTTGTACAATGGCTGTCCTATCATCATCATCACCATTATGCAATATTATAAAAGTGGAGTTAGAACTTGAACCTCCATGCATGTGGGTCGACCCAAACTCAACATTCCTCAATATGCTACATCTCTGGAGGATAAAAATCTCAGTCGTTTGGAAGGGAAAAGGGCACAGGAAAACTCAGATGTCCTCCTTCACTGTTTAGCTTATTTTATTGTGTGCATCTATAACAATTATTCTCAGGCAAAGTTTTGCCCCCAGAGCAGATAACTGGAGGCATTTTTTGCTTGTCCAAAGTTGGTGGGCACTCCTGGCATCTAATGGGTGTGAGCAGGGATGCTGCTAAACATCCTTAGACTTCTCATGATGAAGAAAATGCCAACTCTGCTGAGAGTGAGAAACTCTGATGCAATGTATAAGGAACTCTTCCAGTGAAATAATGAACTCATTTATTTAAAAATATGTATTGAGGATTCTATTACATCAAACACTACTTTAGAAGCTAGGTATATTAATTTTGCCAAAAAAACCCACACTGTTTCTTATCCTTCTGACCTTTCATTAAAGCAGGGGAGGCCAATCATGCATAAACAGAAGTACTGTATAGATACAGGGGATCGACTCAGTCCTGCATAAGGAGGAATGTGTGTGATGGTGATATTTGGGGGTAAAATAAGGAAATGACTCATTTCAGAGGTAGAATTTCTTCTAAGATAAAGTAGACCCAGCCATACAGAGGGATGGAAGAATCCTGTAAGCAGAGGAAACAGCATGTGAGGAACCCTGAGGTTAGAAAGGGAATGATATAAGTCAAGACCCAAAGACCAGCGGGGCTGCATCTAACCAAACAAGGAGGTTGATGGGAGACTAGATCACAGGACACGTCACTCACAGGAAACAGTGACAATAGTAAAATGTCATCAGTACCAACAAACACAGAACTGTGTGCCCGATCTAAGTTCTCACAGTTATCTTGTGGTTTTAGAGGTGAGCATCAATACAACATATGTACCTTAGTAATCCTCTAAAGCAAAGACAGTGGATCCAAAGTGTGGGGCGCACCTGAAAACTGAGTTCCAAAAGCATATTCTGTTCTTTTCCTCTAGGTATAAATTTTTCACTCTCCAAAAGATATCTCTGCTAAAATTCTTTCAGAATCTCAAGTTATTTCAAGTGCTTTAATTTAATTTTAAAAACAATAAGTGAAGGGGAAAATCTATTTGTTTCCTTCCAGGAGAAAGCACTTTATATCCAATTATGCAAATGAAGATTAATGAGTCTTGATTCTTGATTACGGGTGGCTTATTGTCTGGCAGAATATTTCCGTGTGAAATGATAAGGGTGATCATGGATGTGTGCACGGGGCAATGGGGGGGGTCGAGAAGCAGCCCTGACCCAAATTTGGGGGGGGGTACTGACTGCATCCATTACAGTGGAAGCTATTTTTGGAGAACCTAGCACTTGACCTAAGTCCTTTCTTAAAACTAGTACTTACAACCACTATAAAATAGGAAAAGAGAGGTCAAGAAATTAGAAATGAGCAAAGTCACCTATTTATGAATGGACATCTGCATAGGGAAACAAACATGCTTCAAAGTAAATGTGAGGATCATCTTTGGTGATAAAATAGCAGGTGATTTTAATGTTTGTTTTTCTGTGTTTTCTATTTTTCTATATTTTTATACTTGGGTAATTCAAATAAAAAGGAATAATGGGATGGAAAGGACTAATCTGACAATAAAATGAGCAATGGAGAATAGCTATTGGAATTGACATAATATGGAAAATCATGGGAAGTCTATCCCAGTTAGTTCTAGTGGAAAACATTCTGGAAGAAGCTGGAGGATAACAAGTTGAGTAATAAAAGGAAGACAGAAAGAGGACTGAACAAAGAATTTCTGCATGTTAAGAAGCTGAAAGGT